GGAGGAACAGGTGAGAGGTGAGGGACAGGTGAGAGAGGTGAGGGACAGGTGAGGAGGGAAGGCAAAGGTGAGACCCCAACTCCCATCTCCTCCTGTCCGGGGCCACCACCGTGACCTCGGGGCCACCACGGCGACACCGGGGTCACGTGACCGTGCAAAAACGCGAAGAAAAAACGGGAAAAATTCCCAAAATTCCCAGGAAAAGCGGGAATTGTGGTTCCTACCCCCCGGGAGTTTCTCCTTCTCCCCCTTGGACAGCCCCAGCTGCTCGGCCAGCTCCTCCTGCCCGGGGCCACCACGGCAACCTCAGGGCCACCACCGTGACCTCGGGGCCACCACGGCTCACAGCATCGCGCAGAAATGGGGGAAAAGGCAGGAAAAATGGGAAGAATTCCCAGGAAAAGCGGGAATTGTGGTTCCTACCCCCCGGGAGTTTCTCCTTCTCGCCCGTGGACAGCCCCAGCTGCTCGGCCAGCTCCTTCTGCATGGGCCCCAGCGTGTCCTTGTAGGGGCAGCGCGTGGTCCAGTGGTCGCCCTTGCAGATGCGGCAGGACACGATCTTCTGACCCTTCAGCTTGTTCATGGGGTCCTCCTCCTCCTGGCAGTTCAGGTCCTGTGGGGCAGGTGAGGGCACCTGAGTGTACCTGAGCACACCTGAGTGTACCTGAGCACCCCTGAGCATCCCTGATAACCCCCTGGGGACACCTGGGGACACTGAGGGACACTTGGGGACACTAAGGGATGTTCATGGGGTCCTGCTCCTCCTCCTGGCAGTTCAGGTCCTGTGGGGCAGGTGAGGGCACCTGAGTGTACCTGAGCACACCTGAGTGTACCTGAGCACACCTGAGCATCCCTGATAACCCCCTGGGGACACCTGGGGCACACCTGATAACCCTCTGGACACACCTGAGCACACCTGGGGACACACCTGGAGACACTTAGGGATACTTAGGGCACACCTGGGGACACCTGATAACCCCCTGGGGACACCTGGGGACACTGAGGGACACTTGGGGACACTAAGGGATGTTCATGGGGTCCTCCTCCTCCTCCTGGCAGTTCAGGTCCTGTGGGGCAGGTGAGGGCACCTGGGCACACCTGAGCATCCCTGATAACGCCCTGGGGACACCTGATAACCCCCTGGACACACCTGAGCACACCTGGGGAGACACCTGGAGACACTTAGGGCACACCTGGGGACACCTGAGAACACCTGGGGACACACCTGTCCCAGGTGTCCCCAGGTGTCCCTCACCTGTCCCCAGGTGTGTTTTTGGTGTCCCTCACCTGTCCCCAGGTGTCCCCAGGTGTCCCCAGGTGTCCCTCACCTGTCCTCAGGTGTGCTCAGGTGTCCCTCACCTGTCCCCAGGTGTGTTTTTGGTGTCCCTCACCTGTCCCCAGGTGTCCCTCACCTGTCCCCAGGTGTCCCCAGGTGTCCCTCACCTGTCCCCAGGTGTCCCCAGGTGTCCCTCACCAGTCCTCAGGTGTCCCTCACCTGTCCCCAGGTGTGTTTTTGGTGTCCCTCACCTGTCCCCAGGTGTGTTTTTGGTGTCCCTCACCTGTCCCCAGGTGTGTTTTTGGTGTCCCTCACCTGTCCCCAGGTGTGTTTTTGGTGTCCCTCACCTGTCCCCAGGTGTGTTTTTGGTGTCCCTCACCTGTCCCCAGGTGTCCCTCACCTGTCCCCAGGTGTGCTCAGGTGTCCCTCACCTGTCCCCAGGTGTCCCTCACCTGTCCCCAGGTGTGCTCACCTCCTTGCTGGTGATGAAGGTCATGAAGACGTCGTCGCTCACGGTCGTCGTGGCCACGTTGGGCCCGGGGGCGTCGAACTCGGAATTCCCGAATTTCTTCCAGTTCTGGGAGGGGGGAAGAGAAAATTGGGAAAAGGAGCTGGGAAATCCCGGGAATTCTGCTGGGAGGGGAAAGGCGGGATCAGAGCCCCGCCCCCACGGGAACGCTCCTGCCCACTGCCAGGTAAATCAATCCCAGTTTATCCCATTCCCAGGTAAATCAATCCCAGTTTATCCCATTCCCAGGTAAATCAATCCCAGTTTATCCCATTCCCAGGTAAATCAATCCCAGTTTATCCCATTCCCAGGTAAATCAATCCCAGTTTATCCCATTCCCAGGTAAATCAATCCCAGTTTATCCCATTCCCAGGTAAATCAATCCCAGTTTATCCCATTCCCAAATAAATCAATCCCAGTTTATCCCATTCCCAGGTAAATCAATCCCAGTTTATCCCATTCCCAAATAAATCAATCCCAGTTTATCCCATTCCCAAATAAATCAATCCCAGTTTATCCCATTCCCAGGTGAATCAATCCCAGTTTATCCCATTCCCAAATAAATCAATCCCAGTTTATCCCATTCCCAGGTAAATCAATCCCAGTTTATCCCATTCCCATTGAATTCCCATTTTTTTTCCCCATTCCCAGATTAACCAATCCCATTTCCCCATTTCCATTTCCCACAGAATTCCCGGATTTTTTCCCCATTTCCCACGGAATTCCCAGATTTTTCCCCCATTTCCCACGGAATTCCCGGATTTTCCCCCTCACCTTGCGCCGGGCCACGGCCTTGGAGGCTTTGCGGGTCTCGATCCGGAAGGTTCGGATGATCTGGGAACGGGAAAAACGCGGGATTGGGGCCCCAAAAACCCCAAATTTGGGAATTCCTGGAGCGTCTGAGCCCCCAAAACCCCAAATTTGGGAATTCCTGGAGCACCTGAGCCCCAAAAACCCCAAATTTGGGAATTCCTGGAGCATCTGATCCCCAAAAACCCCAAATTTGGGAATTCCTGGAACGTCTGATCCCCAAAAACCCCAAATTTGGGAATTCCTGGAACGTCTGAGCCCCAAAAACCCCAAATTTGGGAATTCCTGGAGCACCTGAGCCCCAAAAACCCCAAATTTGGG